CCCCAAAACCCCAAAACCCCAAAACCCCAAAACCCCAAAACCCCTATATCTCCAGCTATGGTTGAAATTGACATGACTTAGGCAGCCAATTGTTACAAGGGAATAGTTCAAGGGAGGTTAGACCCTATGTAGTGCTTGCTGGTATCGTCAAATAGACTGAATGTCAAGTTAAGAACCTTCTTTCTTTTAAACAAGCCAGCTCTCAACTTTGAAGGAAGAACAAACCACATGCTAAGAGTGCTAACCTTATTTGGAGGGAGAGGCAATGGTGACAGGTTTCTAATAGTTAACTTCTGATCTGGCAGTTTAACATAGCTATTTCTCAAATTCAGATTGTCATTTGCAAGACATCGGAAAATTAAACTCTCAGGATCAGAGGGATATGCTTCATCTGATTTATTCTTGATGTACCATCAAATTGAAATCAACAAGTCAACATTCGAGTCCTCATCAACTATCTCCTCGATCTGAATCGTTTTAAGAAAATCTTTATCAGCCATAGGCACCAAAGTTGCTTTCTGTATGTCTATAGCTGACTTCACAGGGTTTCCGCTATTCCCAAAAACGGAGCTTGAATCAACATAAAGATGAGGGTATCCTGAAAATTCCTTCTTCTTTGAAATATTCTGTTCTGGCTTTATTTTAGGTAATTTTTCTACCATATGCTTGATTTCTCAATACATTGGGACACGAACATCTCTGTTTCTCAGTTTTATGAAAATATGTTCATGTGTATTATCAATCTCACAGTATTCTCAGAGGTTATGTTCGATTCAAATTGCTCATTTATACCTAATGCCTATGATAGGTTCTGCGAGGCATTCATCTCATTTTACTCCGAAATGAGTATCTTTTTCAGCCAGAAGCTGTTTCTCAAATTGTTTGGCAAGTATATCCTTAATCTGATCTACTATTTCCTGTGCTTTAGCCTCTGTACTACCATCTGAGAGTTCTCTTCCTTTTGAAGCATCGAGAGATTCTTGGATGATTGCACCAATAGACTTTTTAGGGTCTTCAATTTCCTGAAGGACTTCATCATCAGAAGTGGTTTCTTGAATTTTCTCCAAAATACTAGGTTCTTTGTCTTGAACCATTTTCTCATGAGGACTATCTTCTTCGTATTCAATTTCCTTCTTGTTTTCAGGTGAGGCAGTCGCCTTACGATATTCGTGAGGAGAGTTGACAATAACGCTTCTAGACACATCTCCTCGAGATGAATTAGGAATCAGCTTGCCTACTATAGGATCATAGTTCATCTGACTCTGCATCAAGTCGCTCATATTACCACTATATTTCTGTCAGTATACAAGAAAGAAGGATTGCTTACTGATACATTGAGTCTTTGCGCATATACTCTTCAGGATCATCAGCTAGCGTAATTTTTTCTGTAAATACAGGCTGCTGTAGAGACCGAGTCCTTTCCCTATTGTTCCTATAATTTTTCTTGAGTAGTGAAGATTGAACTTTTTGGCTAGCTTTGCTGAAAAATCCTTTGAACAGTCCTGCGACCTTATTTACCAACAGATCTATTCATTTTAACCTTGGCATTTTGCATCCCTTCTTGGATCTTTTTGTCCTTCATTAAATCTAGGTCGTCACCGATGACATATTCATCATAGTCGAAACTATCATCTGAGCTTTCTTGTGAAGTTTCCTTCTTACTAATATTTTTCTGTTCCATTAATGTTATATAATTTCAAAATATTGGAAAAATATAGGGGTTTTGGGGTTTTGGGGTTTTGGGGTTTTGGGGTTTTGGGG